AGCCCATTGAACCGTACTACTGAGGCCAACCCATGAAATCGTACTACTGAGGAATGAAACCATATTTTGGTATTTGGCTTCTTGGAATTCTAGGATTGTAAGTATATTATGAAAAATAATAGTATTGATTCAAATTTAACTTTTAGTTGCAATTGTAGTTGTTTTTGTAATACTAATTCTATTTGCATTGTTTGGGAAGGAAGTGCATTTGGAGCATTGTTTCTGATATATGTAGTTATTGTGTTCTTAATGTTTGTGGTATTTCTTAAAGCTAAGCAGTGTTATATGCGTAGCAAAGAGTTTTAAAATAAAATTGTGTTGTATGAATTAAGTGTGTAATCATTGTGAAATCGTGCAATCAACTAACTACTCCCCCAGCCAGTGCATCAAAATGAATCAGTAAATTGTGTGGGATCTTCTCCATTCCATAACCCACTAGAGACATGCCCATCCACCACCCTCTTACCCCAAAGCTGGCTGCTGTTTAGGCATTTTTTAGGTGCTTGGTTTGCAGATCACTTCAAAATCTTGAGAACACAAATATGTAGAAATGTTGAGTATTTTGTTGGTTAATTAACGTGCTTCTACTTGGATTGACATCTCTAGCCCAGTACACTTCAGAGCAGATTTCTGCATGGAGACCAGCTGGGCAGGAGCCATGCAGGGAGGGTGCATAGCTGGGTGGGGAGCTTCTCTGGGGCCAGGATTTTGGGGTAGTGACAAAGCAGGGCCATGTTGGCTGTGGGTCTTGGCTCTGCCCCAGCCTCACCTCCTTCTTCCCCCCAAAGTTCTCACGGTCTGTCTTCCAGCTACAGGGTCTCCTGGCCCTGCCTGCCTCTCTCTCTTCCGGCTGCAGCCTCATCCCAGCTACTTGGCCACATGCCCTGCCCGTGCAGGTCCCACCCCTAGGGGTGTGTGTGGGGTGCATAAGCCAGGGTGCCCAGGCAGTGGGGCTGGGTCCAGCAGCAGCAGCCAGAAAGAGATGCTGCACCAAGGGCTACCAGGAAATGGAGTCTGCCGTGGGCCCGATCCAGCCAGTGGGCTGGACTTTGTCCACCCCTGCTCCAGAGAGATGTGGATATAGGAGCTGCAGGTATACAGGTTGTGTGTGCAAGAGAAGGGAAGAGAGAGGGAGAGAGAGAGAAAAACAGAGGGGAGAGGGAATTTCTTCCCTCTTTACTCTGATCTGATTATCAGTCAGGAGTCCTCAGGCCTACACAGAAGCCTTAATCACTGCCAGTTGTGAACTACCTAGTCAGAATAGTAGTGAAAGGACAACCCATGGGCAGGGGACAGCACCCCGTAGCCCCACTCCAGCTTCTCATGCATGGGACTGTAGGTTAAGATTTTTGACAATGACGTGCCTCAGGCTGGGCTGGGGAGTTACACTCCAGCTAGAAAAGAAGCTCTACATGACAGGGCGCTCAGATGCTATATACATGAGTGAACGGTACAGCTAAATCTGACCACTCTGCCCAGCCTGGGCTATATTTTGGGGCCGACTGGAGAAATCTGAGCTCTGCCAATAACTGTATCCCGTTTGAAAGGACTGTGTCCAGAGACTGAATTCCAGCCTCTTAATGTCTTGCCATATTTTCCTTTTATTTCCATCCTTTTGGACATGCAATGCCCTGAAGCTTAAACGATATTCTCCAGAATATAGAATTGGTCCAGCAGCTTTTCTACCAGGCCTGGCATCCAGTCTCTCAGCAGCAGGAAAGGCTGGAGGCTCCAGTAAGGATAGACAACCTCCCGGTGTCGTAGCACACCAGCCCGCACCACTTCCTGGGCACACTCCTCCTTGGGATTCGCTGTCATCGTTGTTTTGTCAGCAAAAGCATTCACAGCATTTTCTGAAGTAAAGGGAACAATTATCATAGGGTGATCTCTCTTCTGTCCTTTCCCCAGAGTAAAGAGGAATGTGGTGCAAGTGGCTGAGCTACAGGAGGCAGCTCTTGAGACTTTGCACTAATCCTAAAACTTCTTTCAATACATCTTTTGACCTCCTATATATTCCTTATACATTCTCTTGCCCTTGGCCCTGGAATTATATTATTTCCCTCCTGCATTACTTAGTATACGCTAATGGCTGTACATCTGTCCAGAAAAGAAGTTACGGCATATTATTCTTTTACCTGTGTCAATATATCCCAGCACAGCAATTGTGACTGAGAGATTGATCTGCTGAAGGTTCAGCTCCCTGCGTAGTGAGCTGTAGAATCCTTCCAGAGCAAACTTAGCTGCACTGTATGATTGGGCAAATGGGTCTCCAATGCGACCTGCAAGTCAAAGCAATAGAAAAGAGACTGTTTTTCCAAGAAAATGGTTAATTCAGAAAGTGTTATTGGCAAGGTTAGGCAGCTGAGAACAAACTGGAGTCTCTCCTGCATATCTCCATGTAAATACTATTCAAATTATTTTTCTGTTTCATATCTGATGAACTAAGTGAAAAAGGTTTCCTGTTACAAGATGGGCCAGTTCCACCAGCTCTTACTGGGCTTCTGTGAGACCTCATAGCTTATGAGACCTGGACCATGTTAGCACCTGGGAGAAGGCTGCCCAAGGGGTCTGATACTGTGGTCAGCAGTGTTGATGAGTTGTTTGGTGGCATTTTGCTATGATGTATACTACTCTGACTATCCCAGCAGAGATGGCTGCATTTAATTGGTAGGTGAGCAATCCCAGTGAACAGTTCTAGATCAGTTTGCAAAGAGCATTTGGAAGACTAATTTAGAGAAGAGTTGCAATGATGCCTCCTTAGTCACCAAGGAGTTAACAGAGCTTCCCTGGAACTGAAAGCCCCTGGGACAGGCAGGAAAAGAGAATAGTATTTCCTGTAAAGTGGAAACAATGATTTCCCTAGTATGGTTAGGCATGGAGCCAGCTTGACTTAGAGTAGTACAGGTTAGGTAATCCACTGGCAGGGAGCAGCTTTCCTTACCACTCAAGGAGGAGATGACAATGATACTGCCCTGAGACTCCTTCAGCATAGTCATGGCTGAAGCAGTCAGCTGGACATAGCTCAAAAAGTTGACAGTCATGGAGCTGGTCACTTCTGTCATATCTCCCTGAAATGGGCCAAATGAACCAGTTCCTCCAACGTGGTTCAAAACTAGGTAGTCAAGGCCTCCTGGAAAAGGAAAGGAAACATAGATTCAGAGGGAGCATATGGATCTGTTTTGGGGTCAGGATGGTTGGGATACAGTATTCTTCTCTCTAGTCTTCAAGACACCAGCCTGTCCTCTCGATGCCTCAACCTCCCTTGTGCGAGGGAGAAGTGTTTCAGGAAAAGGCAATGCAGAGGGCAGGTGTCAGTAACCCAAGAGAGGTCCCACTTCCCATTTTTTCAGAGGACAGTTGCATTTTGCTATGAACCTGGAAAGCATACCTAGTTTGCTTCCAGCTTCTTCAATGACTTCCTGGGCTGAACTCAAGTTGTTCATGTCGGCCACAACATACCTGGCAGAACTCGCCCCCAGTTCCAAGCACTTCTTTGCCACCTGGAGAGAAAAGAGCAGCCTTCAGCACAGCCAAGGTCAGAGGACTTGGTGCTGCTGCAGGCTACACATAGCAGCTGTTCTGTGGCACAGGGGAGAGCATGCAGCCATTTGCTTTAGTTGGACCCTGGTCAAGGATGAGGCTGGAGCTCATTTAACATGCCAAGGAAGAACTAACTGTATATGAGGAGTTACGCTGGGCAAGAGAGCAAAGAGGTGATGGTCTACAGCAGTATGCTCAAGGCCAAATCCTGGGCTTAAGTGTACACACACAGTTCCTAGGGAGGCTATCGTTTCTAATGGGGTAGCCACTCCGGTGCCCTTTGGTGGTGGGATGGAAAATGATGTTTAAAAGGAACCCAGAGGTTCTGTTTCTTCCCCCACTTTGGGCTGCACTCCCTTGGGGTTCTCACCTCCTTGAGCTGCTTCTCCCTCCGAGCGGTGATGATCAGGTGGGCTCCCATCCTGGCAAACTCGTAGGCTATTTGTTCCCCAATCCCAGTGCTTGAACCTGTGACCAGCACACGCTTCCCTTGCACCATATCTGGAGGTTTAAGAGACTCATCAGGAATTTTGCTCCCTTCCCAGTACTGTGAGCATTGGTGCTGTCATAGCAGTTTGCAGAACCCCAGAACATTCAGCACTGAGTCCTGATTCTCTAAATCTCACAAAAGGAAGAGAAAAAGGGCCTCCTTGTATGTAAAATGGGTGGAGTGGTGCTTTCCTCCTCCAAGAGGGGTCAAAAGTGTCACTTTGCAAAGTACTGAGTGCTAACAAAACTCTTTTAAAACTGGGTAGTAGTAGCCCCTTGGATGTTCTAGGGGCCATTGGTTTTCTGTGTAATTGGACAAATTAGGAGGGGAAGGACCCATTGCCTCATTCTGTTCTGTGGCCAGTGCAGAATAAGGTATGTCTACTGGAGTCCGGTTAAGGCTACCTTTAAATGCCAAAGTGGCAGGCTTTCAAGCACTTTCCTTGGGAGACTTTTCCACAGGCTATCACACCCCCCTGCCTTCCTGGTTTTGCCTGACACTGGCCTCCAAGAAGGATGCCTGCCAATGGATCTGTGAGCATCTGAAGTCCCAGGGTGATGGGTCTGGGATGAAGGATGCTTGCCAGTTGTAGCACCATGCATGGTGTTTGGAACAATTGTGTTCTGTCTGCTCAATCAATATGGTTTTTGGAATGACTGAATTCTACTCAGTTAATAATATTTGGAAATGACTTGGCTAATTTGACCTGGAATATGGAATACATTATTAAAAAAATACAGAAAGGGTTTTCCAAATCTATCACTTCTGTGACAGTTCCCAGTCCCCAGAGGCAGCTCAAGGCAAACACCAAAACTCTGGTCCCCCGTTTTTTCTTTTAGAAAGAGAGATGTTCTCACTTCCCTTCTGGTCAGGTTCTCCATCCTCTGGAACAGAGTTATCTCAGACCCCTCCATCTTGCTGAACAAGAAATCAGTCCGTCCTTTGACATTGAGGGAAATCTGCTTGTTGCAGCCATGAGCTTACTTTTCCTTAGCAAAGTCTTTTGCTTGTCCTTTGTTCCTAAGGTCATCACTAGACTGAGCCACCAACCGACCCCCTGCTTTTTTTGTTTTGTTTTGTTTTACGCTAATGCTTTTTGCTTTCATTTTCCATTTTAAATTTTCATTTGAGAGACAATTACCCTAGATCAAACTGAGTTTTAGAATGTTTCTTTATTCCATTTGACCACAGACAACAGTCACTAAACGGATTATTTCTTGCCTTGATATGAAATGGTGAAAACACCATGAAAGAAGATTTACCTATGTCCAGATTTCAGCTGAGATTTTGGCATGCAGCATGGGATCTGATCTATAGATCCATAGTGGGGAGTCAGCCCTAACCTCTCTCTGTACCTAGAGTGTGAATTTCCTGGAGTCTCTCCAGCTTTACTTACCTGCAGATAAAGTTTCTTGGCTGTAGAAATAATATGCACACAGGCCGATGAAGACAGGGACAAGAAGCCTGACTGCAGCCATTGTGTTGGTTTTCTGCAGCGACACCAACGTCAATCATTAAACACAACAGGCCCCATCATGCCAAATGATAAGCAAGCGAGGGTCATAAACTGATTTCTCCTAAAAGGCTTATGGGGGAATGGGGCACTGCCTCCCTCCTGGCAGCAGCTAGTACTAGACTATGAGTTCTCTGGAGCAGGGACTCGAGTGTTCCACCCAGTTTCACCTCATGTGCTGTGCAGCATGTACGGTGACATCTTCTCTGTGCTGCACCCAGCTGATCTGGCCCAACTCACACCACAGGTATCACTGGTGTGTCACTGGAAAAGCCAGTCACCCCTCTTTGGGGTGGGAGAACAAACTTAGGAAACTGCTGCAGGATTCAAGCAGCTGCTCAAATTTTCCACTTCCTAACCCATGTCAGCATAACCATTTCAAGGGAACTGGGGGCAGGCAAGACACAACAGATGGATCCCAGCTTGCGGGATGTTTTCTTTTCAGTCCAAAACTTTGCTGTGGGGCTTTCCGCTCCCCTTGATCAGGGTGGGTGTAACAGAGTAAGGGACAAAAAGGTTCCCTCCCCCGCTCCATTCCCAGGGAGGAACAGAGAGACTGCTGGCTGCCAGGTGGGAAAGAAAACCTGGCCCGGAGTAGAACTAAGGGAAGCCCCAGGGGAATACACTTACCTAAGGGTCCGCTGACTGTCAGGGGGTGAAGAATCCAGGAGATTGGCTGCTGGGGCTCCGGGAGGGAGATAAGCAGCAGCTGTGGAGACCAGAAGGGAGGAGGGGGAAGAAGAGAGAGAAGCTGCTAGGCTGCAACACTGCCAGATTGGGGTAAGAGGAGTGCAAATAGTCCTGCTCTTTTGCTGTGTCTGTTTCTGTTGTAAGTCTGGTGGACTGTGGAGGGGGCGTAGGGTGCCCTGCTCAGACACACAAGGCGATCGCACTTGCAAGTCTGACCAGCCCTTAAGGAGACAGGCCCTAATTTTGAACTGTGTTTCAACTGTAACTCTTAAGCATGAATCCTACCTATAAAGGGACTACATGCCATTATGACGAACTGCCTGTTCTGTAATCATGAACTCAACATCAAGTCATGGCAGGCAAGCAGACACCAGAGGCAGCGACATCCCTTGGCCAATATTGGTCCAGGGAGTGCCCAGTCACATGCATCTCCCCTGACCCTGCCACAGTGAGACTGAATCTTGCCATGTATGTGGACATCTCACCTGTAGTCTTTTGGAAATGATGCCCTCTAATCTACAATAAATTTCAACGGTGCAGCAAAATACTGGGGCTGGGTATTTTTATTAAATATCTGTACCCTTATGAAATGTCATTGGCTGCCCTGTGGTTTAATATTGGACTGGCAAAATAACAGCTTCCGGTTGTCCTTCATACCACTTACACTCTCCTGTCTTTCTAGGGGCTCAGGGCATACAGACTGCAGAGTGAGGTGTGCAAGGGTGCATGTATACATCTAGCTTGGGATTCTTGCCAAGAGAAAAGGTCCCAGCTGCAGCTGAGCTGCAGGCAGTAGGATTGGTGGATAAACAGTGTTGATGTTTCCCTGTGAATTTTAATTATCAAGAGGAGTGTCACTACATTAAATTGAAACCAAACAAATCTGAAAGTAAAGCTGTTTTGCTTTGAGTATGGATGTTCACCAGGAGCATCCAAAAGACTAGTTTCCTTCCCTTTCAGAGGGAGACTCTTTGAGCCAGGAGCAATTTGGCATTTTAAAAGAAAAAAATCCTCGCCAAATGTATGTAGGATGAAAAATGTTAGGTTGGCAAGGGCATAAGTTGAAGTCCTCTGTCAACAGATTCTCCATCTCCCAGTGTATCTCCCTGGTGTGGAAGGACAGAAGCTTGGGGTGAAGAAGTTCAGTTTCCAAAGTCTCTTGGCTGAGACAGCCAACAGGCAGCTGTGGTGATATGGACATCCACCCACTCATACCTGAGGCATTTAATTAATGTAGACCACAAAAAGCTCCCAAGGGCTGGTTTGTTTAAGTCACCACTGATCTGGGCTGCATTGGACCAAGTCACGTAGAAATGAAAGGCTCCATGTACCACCACCATACTGGGATGGCTTGATTTCTAAGTAGACCCAAAGTACAAACAGCCATATTCTGCTTGGCCTGCCTCTCTGAGCCGTGCAATGTTGGCAAAGACCTTACAGCTGTGGGTTAGAAATGCTCTGATGGTTTTTCTTTGTAGCTGCAAAGTCTGGAAAAGTGCGACATCCAAGGCACACAGCTGGGAAGCATCAGGCTTTGGAGGGAGGCTTCTGTCGCTCCCACACCAGCGCTTTGCAGTCTGCTTCTGCTCCCAAGGTCACCATGCCCAGAGTCTTTGGCCCTTTCCCACAACTTATGAACAAGCAGGTTTGTACCTGGCTCTTCTGCTCATGTGTTCCTGGGGATTCCAATCTTGCCATATCTTCCAGACAGAGAATTCCTGGAGTCTTGATGCTGAAGCATGTTATGTGGGGTTGCAGGCCTTTCTAAGGTGGGGCAAGTCTGATAGTAGACATTGACATAGGCACCACTGACCAGAGTCAGAGCCAAATCTCTCTCTGCTGCTCCAACCTCACCCTTCCCAGCAGAGATGCTCTGGGAACAAAGGCAGGAATAATCATTTATGGAGCTCATAGCTCCTTCAGCCCAGCCTCAGCAGCTTCTCCCATGCTGGAGTGGCTGAAAGGGAATAGACAGCAGTGCTGGGGGTTGGTTTAGCAAGCCGACTTGTAAAGAAACAGTTCTTGTGGTGCTCTCTAATGAGTGCTTTTATTTCTGATAGCTGAATGGAGTGACAGCTTCAAAAAATGACCTGAAGTATCAGTGGGCTGGTGTGTCAACAATGAACCAGAAAAGGTGTGAGGGTCTGATGTACTGGGGAAGGTCAGGTCTGGAAAGGTAACAACACAAGGTTGTTAGGGGATATGTCTCTTTCCTCCTTGCTGACAGGGGGGCTAGAAAGTGAACCTGTGATGGAAGGAGAGCAGGTGCCTGTCCAGTATGACTTGAATATCCATTTGATATACTCCAGGCCTGTAATGCTGCTCCTCCTGCTGCCAGGTCTTCGGTGCAAGGTTCTTCTTTTTTGCCTCCTATAGAATTTTTACATCTCCGCTCCCCTCAAGTTCCCTTGTTCTTATTGAACCCAGCTAAACAACAGGTCATCTCCTTTACTGAACTCCATGTCTTCCAACAGTATGATTGATCTGCATCCTATAGTGCTGAACCCTGGGGCCTCTACACCTCCCTCCAGACTGGCAATCACATCAATAAGATGAGGCACACCACCTTCTTAAGGTAGGTCTTATGACAGTTACCCACCATGTCAGGGCTGATACCTGTGTTCTCTCTGTGGGTTGCATGGACTGCTTACAAAAGTTACAGAAGGTCACCTCGATCATGCTGTAATATGTTTGTGCTTTACACAAAGTGCTTAAAGTTAGTGTCATCAAAGCTAACAGATGTTCAGTGTTTGGTGGTGGGGACTGAGTGCGTCCCTGCACTGGCAAAGGCTAAGAAACCAGCCAGCTCAATTGCTGCCCCTCTGCCCGCTTTACCCTCCTCTGCCAGCTGGATGCAAAGAACCAGCCAGGGTTCATTCCCTGATGTCAGGGGGCAGTGTGAAGGCAGCTTGGGGGTTGTGCCCCCTCTCTGCTGGTGCCATGGGGCACTGGCAACCTTCTCTTAATGGAGGGTGGGGGGTAATCCCCACCCTTGATCACTGCACACCTGTTCCCCCTCCCTTGCCTGCAGGCTGGCTGCACAGAGAGGAGACACACAGCCCTGGTAGGAAATATACAAGTTTCCTAAGGCACTCTAATTTATACTTGGATACTTGCTGGTAGCAGGGCCACATGTTTTTTCAACAATTCAAAGGATTCAGAACTGATCTGTCTAATTTGACCTGGAACACAAAAAAATTTCCAAAATATATTTAAAAAAAATGTTTGTATAGAGTAATATTACATAGTGAGTTTTGCTCGCAGGGGGCACGTCTGCACAAGATATTTACTGCAGAGTAGACTAATTAGATCTGCAGTAAACATCTCAGTGTCTACATGTGATGGGCTATAAGACTGGAGTAAGCTAATAAACTGCAGTTTTTTACTTTGCAGCACTGCACATGTAGACACTGATGCAGCTGGCTGGGTCATGAAGGTGCTTCAGTGAGGGGGCTGCCTGCCGGCTAGCCCTGCACTAGAGCACCCTAATGCTCCAGCCAGCTCCCGACAGCATGTTGAGCTGGGTCGGAGCAGCCCCAGGATGGCAGGCTGAGCCCCCAAACCCTCTACCAGATGGGGCTACTCTGACCCAGCTCAACTTGCTGTGGTCCTGGATACAAATCAAACAGTGCACCTGGGAGCAATAAACTCTGGTGCAATAAGTTCCGGAGTTTATTGCTTTGAATTAGTTGCGCACCCAGAGGCATATACTTTTCACTGTTCCTGTATATGTGCATGTATATAATGTAAACCATTGGAGGACCGGTGTAGCTTTGCCTTATTTATCATTACTCTGAGGAGTGCTTTGACTGTGCTTGTAGATACTCATAGTTGTAATGAATGAGAGGCAGGTTCGGGGCAGGAGGATGGATTCTTCTTTCGGGGGGTCTTCGCTGGGAATGTTTTCTTATTCTAGGCCTCTTGGCAACAGTCCCACATCTTCCCAAAAAGCAGGCCCTTCTGGCACAAAATCTGCAGCCTCTGTTTTTAACATGCCCATACTGGGCATTGGAGATTACATGGATAATGAGAAACCTGGCCCAGGCGCTCTTCCAAAAGGGACATAAGGGTCTCTTCCTGTGTGGAAAACTGCTACTTGAATAAAAATTCCATGCAAGGTACTTGGTTGCATGGAGGATGCTGCTGTGTAGAAGTCTTAGCCCTGAAATAAGAGAAACTCTATGTGAACGGCTTGGGAAGCTTTGGCAAGCAGGACAATTCTATCATTCTATCTGTAGCCTATTACCTGTGAGCTTTCTCTACCCCCAGGCAGCAAGGATATCCACAACTCATTGCAAAGTATGAGCCCCCCTCCACCTTGCTTCCATGGCATGTATAGCAGGATCTCCCATATTCTATTAGTCACAAAGGGATTTTAATTCCTTGGGAGCTAAGGCTGCCTATACACATTCTGGTTTACATTCCAATTAGAACGCTCCAGTGTGGCCTCACCATAATGTGCATAAGCCCCCATATGTTTAAAAATGGCCGTGGGGGCACTTTATCTAAACCTTAACTAAAATGAGATTTTGATAAAGCATCCTGCAGCCATTTTTAAATACGCAGGTGCTTAATACATGTGACGGTGAGGTGTTTTAAGTCCAGCGCCTGTCCAGGAACATATGTTGGCAGCCGAAGTGTCTAAATAGTATCAAACATATGGGTTTTAACTGTGATTGTCCTGGGCTAGATTTGAATCCATGCCTGAGCAGGAAAAGGCTCTGTATCTTAAAGACAGCCCTCCACCATTTTTGCTACGTAGAGAGGCTATGCTCTTTCAGTGAGTGATCCCAGCAACCTTGCTCATCTCCAGTGGTTCTTCTTTTCAAAACATTACACATTAACATGGGAAACTCTACCCTACAAGATAGGAACAGGCCATTTTAATCTGCATTCCAAGTGCAATCCCTAGAACTAACTTGCACGTATCCCTACCTTCTAATCTAACCACAGTGAAGTATGTTATGATGAGAGACTGACAAGTGTTTGTTTAACAGAGGCAGCTCTTCTCACAATAGGAGGCTATTATTAGGGGCAGGGATATCTTGCACTGGTCTGTGTAGGCAGGAGACTCTCTGCTTAGGGTGGTCTCTTGCACAGATGCCATTATCCTTCTCTCTTACTTCATGTAGTGTTTATAATTGTAGCCTGAATTCCTGAAATGGGATATGAAACAGCTTTGCACTTGACTGACTCATGAGAAGGAGAAATTCCAAAGCCAGCAACACCAATCTTGTAAAAGATTCTTTTAATGTAATTACCCACTGAATCATATTCCCTCCAAAGTGCATACTGAAGGAGATGGACTTAAATTAGAAGCAGTTCTTGTCAGATTGATTCAGTGAAACTCTAGCAGCATCCCAGCCCTTTTATTTAAAAAAATATGTGAATGTAGTTGCTGAATTGGAGAGCGTCCCCTTCTGGCCCAGACATGCCCAGCCCACTCCCTGCTGGCAGGAAGAGATATGTTAGTCTGGTCACCTGCCCTTCAAAGTCATCTGTCTCTGGAAAGCAGCTACTTTTAGCAGGTTTAGTTCAAATTCTCTAATGAAAGAGAATCTTTCCCCTTAGATAGTCCTCCCAATTAAGAGAGAACAGAAAAACTGGTTCATAATGTTTTCCCAGGCCCTCCTCTCTCACCTACTGACTTTATGTTCCTCACCTGCCAAACACCCACAACCCCTTTCCAATCTGTCATATCCTTTCACTAAACTGTCCTTCTCCCACCTTCCTCCAGGTGACAATTGTAAGAAAATTGTTGGGGTTTTGATACACAAAAGATGCACTTTCCAAAGAATGCAGAGCAGAGGCACAGTCTACATGGAGAAGCAAATGAGAAGATTTCCCATTGGAGATTGGGCTCAGTGCAGGAAACCCATCAGACAGAAATGTGTAAATGCTTGCTGCCCTCTGCTGGGCCATCAAGGAATGCACCTTTGGTGTCACCTCTGACCTCTCGTGTTGAAATATCTCTTCTTAAGATATGCTGGGTCAATGGAACCTGCAGGTATGTAGGTCCAGAATCTGCTTTATAGAGGGAATTTGACACATTAAAAATCAGGATCCTGATTAGCTGTTCTCAGTCCCATGGGGCAGTCTCTGCTCTGCCACTAAAAGTCACAGTGGCTCAAGGGACCTGGGTAAGACATTGTAAAAAGAATCTTGATGCAAAGGTTAATCACTGTGCTGACCAGCTACTCTGGGATTCTCCTGCTACTCCTGTAAAGGCTTTCAGCTGACAACCTTGTTAGAGTAACAGTCTGACTGAAACTCCAAGGGACCATAAAACTAAAAAGAGTGAAATCTAGCACACAAGAAGCCTGGTACCAAACATTCTCAAACTCAAAAGAATCAAGAGGAATAGTATTTGCTCAGCACCTCAGCTGAAGTTCACTGTAGGCAGCCAGTCTGTCCCACTAGGATTAAGTCAGTTAGATCTGAAACAGTGCAACCAGGTGTTGGCATCTGTTACTGGTATATCTTTCTTGTCCGCTGATCTCAGTCTGTCCTGCCAAGACAGCTCAGAAGTTGATGCCTATCTGTACTAGAACCATTCTGCTGCTCAGTGTGCGAAATGACCACCATGCTACAGGATCTCACAGTCAAAACTGTAATCTCTTTACTTGCCATGCAAAAATTACCTAGTTTTGTTAGTGTGGGTGCCTCCCTTGTGGGGTTTGGAACCTGGATCACTGCAGGGCAATCAAAGGCAGCAACTCCCCGCAGCGGGAATTCAGTTTCAAGGATGCCAAGTGATCTGACCTTGTGGGCCCAATGTTCAGTATTGCAATTGGGAGCTTCTTCTCATGGGCAGCAAGAGCAAACCTGTAACCAGAGTATACCTGCAGGGACACAAGGAAGCAAAGTGAAGTGCACCAAGTAAGAGCAAAAGAAAGTACCAATCCATTCCTCAGGTCTGCTGTCCAGGGGGTGATAGCAGGATAGTTCCATGCAGCCTGTTCATACAAATTGTTCTTCACTCAAGCACCAACTACACAGGACGGAAGCATCAGCTCTTCAGCTCCAAATAGGGGAAGGATTTAAATGCTGTAAAAAATGCACATAAATACAAACCTTCCCCCTGTAGTCTGTTGTTGCATAATTCTCTTGGCCAGTTGCTACTGGTTATCACAGGTGCTTGGTCAAATGCTTCCAGCTGCATGGCCTGTGTGCTCTGCCCAACTGGTTCTGCAACTGAAGTCCCATGATAAACCTGAGAGACTATGGTCATGCTTAGGATACTGATTCAGGGCTCCTGAAACCCTGAGGATCACAACAAAGCAGGCTTGGTTTTATCCCATCAGACGAGTTTCTCTTAAGGTGTATTTTAACATTTTATAATACACCTTTTTTCTGGAAAGTAACCACCTAAACTGTTCCTCAGACATCCTGGTTAATGACAGGCCCAGAGTCAGGATAGATAACAGCAGAGGCAAGAGATGGCTACAGGAGAAAAGAGATGGAGAAGCAAAGATGGGATGTGGTCAACAAAGCTTTTCTATATACCATGTGAAGACTTTCTACTCCCTCCTACTCCTCCATGTTCTTCAACAGGCTAATGAGGAGTTAACTGGCAACATGAGCTGAACCTTTAGAGCACCCACTCTTACATCAGCATCCAGCAAGTCTCTAGCACAGAGATCTACTGATACTAGAGACAAAGGCCCAAATCCTCCATGGAATGTAGGTACTTGCCTCTCACAGAGTTCATCCCACCATTCCTATAGTATTAGTGAGTGAGAGGAATAAAATCCACACCATAAAATCCAGAGGAAAACGTGTGGTGGTGGGTAAGAGGGATTTTGTAACACTCAAGGGGCCCCAGCACTCCTAGTGTTTCACACATGGCTGTAATGAGTAGTCTCCATACTATAGGAGAGACTTAACCCTAACACAGAGAAGCTGCTTGCAGGAACCCTGAAGGGAATGCAGTGAAGTCAGACTGTAGAAATAAAACAGCAAAATACAAGGAGGCTCTGGAGAGACAGTGAACCAGGATACCAGGGATGGTAGGGGACCAGAGATGATGGATCAGAAACCATTGTGGAGACAGTAGCAAACAACAAATGGGAATTTAGCATGGGAGAGCTGCTCAATTACCTGCAAAGAGGATCCTACCACCAGCACAGAATCTGATTCAGCCAGGCGCTGGTGCACAAAATCCACTCTTTCACGGCTCACAGAATCCCCGAAGAATGTCACATTTGGCTTCAGGATCCCACCACATTTGCTGCAGGTTGGGACGCGGAAATAACGCACCTGGTCCTCTGTGAGGAAGACATCCCCATCAGGGGCCACACCATGTCCTTCAGCTGTCCATGTGGGATTCATGGCTTCAAAGCGTTCCTGAAGCTCAGAACGGGGGGTTTGATCTCCACAACCCAAGCAGAAAACTCTGAAACACAAAGTGCTCATTTCCATTGGGCTCCTGGGATTCAAGGGTTAAGAAATGTTAAGGCCAGGATGGATCATTATGCTCATCCTATCTGACATCCTGCATATTACTGGTGAAAGGACCTCACCCAGCTATTTCTGTATCGAGTCCAAAAGTGCCAGTATGGACTCCACAAGTCTGGCCAAAGAGCAGAGCTGATTCAGTCTTCTGCTGGCCCGAAGGATGATAGAGAATTGTGTTCATATAATCTATAAATATGCTCCTGAAAGTACCACCCGGTGTGAGCAAAAGGATTCTGTCCATAGAGAGGTCAGTAAGAGGTCTGTTCTGTGCTCTTGCTCCCACCCCTTTCATGAGGTAACAGGGCACATCCACATTATTCCCTTATTTGCCGCTCACATTAATACTGCACCCACATATTAGCCACCCTGTCACCCATAACAAGGCCATCCTGAACCCCATAGAGTACCTGTGTGTGCATCCATGCAGCTCTGTCATCTGCTGACTTCCAGCCTTGCTATGCAGGGCATCCACATTCTGGGTCACCAGCCAGTGGAGTTTCCCTAGTCTCTCCCAATTCCTTAAGGCCAGGTGTGCTGCATTAGGCTGATGAGAGGAGAACTTGGGCCAGCCTACAAAGTTCCTTGCCCAATACCTCTGACGGGCACTGGCACTGTGAACAAACTGGGCGTGCTGGATGGGCCGCCTATCTGTCCTGGCATAAAGTCCAACTCCCTCCGAGCGATAGTCAGGGATCCCTGATTCAGTTGAGATTCCAGCTCCAGTCATTACAAAGAGCCTCTGGGAATGGGAAATGAAGTGCTGCAGCTCCTCCACTTCTGTGGGATCTGGAGGAGAGCTGGCTGGCACGAAAGTCAGGTTTGGAGAGGTCTTGGCTACAGAATAGGATCTGCTGCGGTGGAACCTGAGAGTTGTGCAACCTCCTGCTGCCCTTCCAGCACAGAACATGTTTTCCTGGGACACAAGAAAGTAGTTCAAGCTTAATTACAGGGTTACATTTTCACGGGATACCCTGAGGCGCCAATGATGCTGCTGACACTTTGGCCTTTTATTTTGCCTTCCAGCAGAGAATCTCAAAACATTATGAGAATGTTAATAAATTAAGCTGCACTCCGCAAAGACGGTCATGCAACAATCAGTGCAGAGACATTCACGAGGATCAGGACTCCTGACTTAGTCTCATCTCACCAAGACAGCCTCACATTTCCTCCTTACCTGGCAGCTAATTCCCCTCTGGCAGTGGGCAAACTTGGAGAGTTATGGAGCTCATTCTTAACATTTTGTGATCATTCTATCAAGACAGCCAGACAAGAGAAGGGTGTGAATGGACTGGAGGCATTGTTTTAGACTGGCTGGATTTGAGGCAGACAGCCTTGCTTTCTGGCGTATGTGCAAGGCACCAAGGGCAGCACTAAGGAACTGGGGGAGAGAATCACTGAGGTGTCAGGTGTAACATCCCGGTCCTGCCGGGGGTGGCAGGGTGGGAACCTGGCTGTGTCCCCAGCAGGGATCACTGCTGTGTGACTCCCAGTGCAGATCACTCCCTGCGTCAGGGTGAAGTGTGCCCACAGAACAAAGCCCTCGCCAAGAGCCAGAGCAACTCTCCTGTCAGCCCTGCTTACCGTGGACGGTGCCCTGCCTGACCCTGGTCTCTCATGTGCAGAAAGAAGAAAAATCACTCTGCTGTGTCATCTCTCCAAGACAGAGACCCTGCTGGTGGCCTTCTTCCAGAGGCACCTGTGGGAAGGAGAGAGCAGAGTCCCAGCCCTTGTACAGAGCCTGTGCAGGGCAGGCTATAGAAGTGAGATGGCCTACACTGCCCGCAGAGCCATGCCCTGTGTTGGGTGCCTCCCCTGCAGGCAGGGCAGAGGTCAGGCAGTAGCAGGCTTTGCTCAGCCACTTCCCCATCAGGAGCTGGCTGCTGGCCTGCAGGCCCTTTGCAGTAGGACAGAGGGTGCCAGGAGGAGGGGCCTGATGGAGAGAGGGAGGAGGGCTTCCAGCCAGCCCAGAAGAGAAGCAGAGAAAAGGCAGCGAGGAGGTAGGGGTGGTTTGAAATTGCTGGGGAGCATGATAGGGTTTTCTGGAGAGGGCAGCATCACGGAGCTGCGGCATGGGAGGGGATGCTGAGCATGGAGCGGTGCTAACTGGCCCAGGGGACGGCAGAGATGCAAGGAGAGAAATTTATGCAGCTTGTTTCTGAAGGGATTTTTATGCGCTTGGAAGTCCCTGGCATACTGGTAAAGAACAGCAGGAAGAACAAGTGGAGATACCATGATCTTTAGCAGGTGGCTTTCCCAGTGATGATACCATTTTTATGTTTTCAGCCCAAGTGGTTTTACTGACCCGGCAGGGGAGATCCCCTTCTTCTTGCCTTGAATGACTTGGTGTAGTTGAGGGTGGAGACCTGTCCATTGCACTGAGGGCAGGCAGGCTGCCCTGTGAGAGTTTACTATAGCCTCCCAATGGGAGGATCTCAACTATGCAGTCTGTGGTGATGGGGGATTGCTCTTGGGCTTTTCCTTTAGCTTGCTTCTTCAGCCTTTTTGGCTAGAGGCAAGCGAAAGTAAGGGGCATCTGAACTCCAAGGCCTCTGGGCTTGGCGCTTGCATGTAGGATGCCTGCTGTGGATTTGGGAGTATCTGAAGCTCTAGGCTGAGGAGTGGGAGGTAGGATATTTGCCAGTGGTAGCACCACACAGACTTGAGCTATTGAGCTCTGCTCAGTTGATAGGATTTGGAACTGATTTGACAACATGAATTTAACTGCCCCACTCTCCCACCCCACCCCACCTCCCAAAAAGACCAAAAAACCCCAACAGTGTGAAGAACAGTGGAAGGGGTTAGCTGCCTGGGCCAGGGAACCTGACTGGTCACTCTTGAGGGCTCTGGTAATCAGAGGAAGGACATGAACCCAAAGTAGAAAATGTGTAAGTGTTAATGGTCCCTCAGAAATCTGTCTGTAGCCTAGTGCTTAGGGCTTACACAGGAGCCTGCAGCCAGGCACAGGCACAGACGTATTGTATCTCTGTACCCCAGCTCCCTTCTTCTGAGGTGAGCTCAGCATTAATTTGCCCTTGGCACAGATAAGTGAGGCTACAGGAGGGATGCAGCCTCTGGAGCCAGGCCCCATGTTGGATGACGCCACCTTATACAGGCGGGCATCATTCAGCCTCCTGCCACTCAGGAGCTGGCTGCTGTGGTCTTCAGGCCTGCAGGCCCCTTGGAGCAGGATGGAGGGAGCCGGGAAGGGAGGTATTGCCTTGCTTAGTTTAAGCCACGAATTTTTGTAGGCAACAACCTACTTCATCACGTGCTATGAAAGCTCATGCTTCTTTGAACCAAATTGTCTCGAAGGTGCCGCCCTGTGCTGCCTTCTTCCTGACTAGAGACTAACTCGGCTCCCCACTCTCTGCCTAGTCCGAGAGTCCCGTTTTGGAGCTTGCACAGCTCCAAGCACCTCAGTTGCACTCAAGTGCCTGCAGGGTAAGGTAGGGGCTGTGCAGCAGTTTTGAAGATGCCGCTGCCAGTTGATTTAGGTACCTAAACTCTAAAGAAGCAGGCAGGCACCAAAGTACCTTTGAAAATCTGGGCCTGAAGTGTCAAGGCACATTTGAAAATCTCATTGGAAGTGCCTAAGTCACATTTGAAAATAGGTCTTAGCCACTTAAGCCACCTTGGCTCCCGTTCTTTGAGGTATTTAGATATTTAACTTGCACTGATTTCAACCAATGTTAGGTGCCTAGATAAGGGTCTGGGACTTAATACCTTGCTATACAAAATGGAGCCCCACATCAATAACTTTAAAAAATCAGCCTTTTGCTCTAGAATACTATGGTACGAGACTGATTGTAGCAGCAAACACCGCATTCAGCTTGAGTAATCTCCACCTCGCATGCATGTGCCTCTTCTAAGGGATAGCATTTCTTGGATGCAGCATTTCTTTGTAGACATCGCCTCTGGTTTTGGTAAAAATTTTACACTTATAATTAACTGTGTCTATAGGAAACTACAGATATAACTATTAGTAGCTAGACATCTCATTACCTGGCTTGTGAGTGTAAACAAGTACTTGGTTGTATAACTTTTATTGCCATCTGAAGTGGCTGGCAGGTCCAAAACTATGGGTTCAGTTCCCTAAAGTATACAGCCAAGTTTTGTTGGAGCCTGACTGGAATCAGATCCAGAGCACTCCCTCCTCGTGCTCGAATGAATTAGAATAAAACTATCCATATGCTAAAATATCAACCTAACTTTGTTCCAAAATCTGTCTTTCCTTTACAGCCCCAAAGCTGGGCCCAATATACAATTGTGAAATTCATTAAATAAGATCTAATCAGTGGAGACTATAATTAATAAACAAAGATTTGTGAGAAAAATGCGTGCACTTTCTTTCTTGAGAGTTTTAATTTTGGGGGGGAATTAAAAGAAGTTGATCAGGTTTCCAAATACTTCAGAGTTTCCTTTGAGAGGTCAATTGTCCGTGACTAGTATTCCCCAAAGGCCGCTGAATTAAATTGATGCCATTTAAATTAAACTGCTTTCATTGATTGAATTTTCCCATTCCTTTCTCTTCTAGATTATCATTGAAAAACATCTCTGGAAAAATATTATCAGGAGAGACTTGAATAAAGAGAGGATAGCTGACTGTACTGAGGAGAATAATACTGTTCCAGGCACAATGAATGGCTTGGGAGAAGAAAGGCACATGAGCAAAAAAAGGTACCCAGACATGGGAGAGGAGCAAGGAGAGGTAGAAGTATAGGTGGAAGATGGTGAGCAACTTTGTGGGGCTCTGAGGACAAGGACTAGGAGCTTGATCTAGAAAAACAGTGGAAGAGCATGGAAGGCAGTGAAGGTACCTTTAAAAAGTACTGATGAAGTCAGATCAGTGAGAGAAGATAGTGGATTGTGCCGAAACATTTTAAACATTAGAAGGGTGGGAGCTGTGAGGCAGGGAGTTGTGGTATAGTACTTGTGAGAGCAGGTGGTTTGTAGCAAAAACAAAGAGGAAGGATAAGCTAAGATCACATGTAGTCCCTGTTCTTGAAGGCTCAGGTCAAGCGTAGTGCCTGTTCTTAACCTGGCAGGGGAAATACCATGTATCTGTGTCCATGAAGGCAGTTTTCCTAAAGCGCACCCAGGGAGAATTGCTTTTCTGGCGTGGTTCAGTATCTGCTGAGGTGTAGCAACTTTAAGCCCACTTTATGGAAATGGGAGTCTCCTCCCTAGCTTGCTCTGAAGGCCTTATGGCTAAGGGCCAGCAAAAATCAGGGGCATTTGACCCCCAAGCCTCTAGGCTTGGGCTTGCAAGTAGGATGCCTGCCAAAGGATTTGGAAACATCTGAAGCCCCAGGTGTGGGTGGAGGATGTTTGCTGGTAGTCGGGCCACTTATGGTTCTGGACTCTTGGATTTGGAATTAGTTTGGGCTAATTTGGCCTGGGATACATAAAATTAAAAAAAGGATAAATGTGATTGATGTAAAAGATGAAAAAGTGACAGGCAGTACAGAGGGAAGGAGAGGAAGACAGAGGTTTGCTTGTAAAAAGGGTGTTTCATTTTAAATTGTGATTTTGCATCTGAGTACTTCCCACTATATAAAGGAAAATAATTACCCATGTAACTATAAGCAAGACATAAAACTAAGGTTCTGTGTTTCCCCAGGGGTATAAAAAAAAGAAAACAAAAAAAACCCCTCTACCACTAACATTTACCACATTCCCAATATTCACAAAGAGAAAGAGCAAACCAGGCTTAAGGCAAAAAGGAGCTGAATCTACAATTAACTCTGCCGAAAAATTCAGTACTAGAGTTTGGCATTTCCGAGACCCTATTTCAGTAATAAACCACAAAACAAGCACCAAACTAAGCACATAACCCCAAATCAGCAGGGACCGGGGACAATGAGTAAACATTTGCAAGCCTACCTCTCAGGAACACCGACCTCCAGAAAAATGACACTGGCTGCACAAAACAGACTTCTGGGAAATGCAGTTCACAAAACAAGAGTTGCACAGGAAGACTACAACTCCCACAATCTTCCAGAGCATAGCACACTGAAAAGCAGAGCAGATTGGTCTTCAAAATGCCCAGGGTGCAGCCATAAAATCCTAGCTTTTCCTACTGTGCATAGGAAGAATTGAAACAAGCATGACATGCTTGTAATAAGTGCTTACTTCGTTACCAGACATATACAGCATTCATCCTACATAAAAAGAAGAAATGGAACAAATTACTCCAAGAACAAGCTCCCCAGCCACAAAACAACCATCAGAGGAACAACACCAACACCTTACGACCTTCCAACCTCAGACTTGATGAAACTGCAAGCAGCAACCAACCCACAAATATTATCAATCTCTCCACACATTTGGGTTGGTCTAATAAAAGATATCAAATTCACCCAAGGAACCTTGTCTGCCTATGTCCTTAGACCAACACGGCTACAACCTAAACCCCTACTTCATTACCGTTGATTTTAGTATTACCACTGATTTTAGAGACCTAGTTCTTTGTTTAGTTTCATTACACAAAAATAGCAAACCATAATATTAAGAGCAGACATGCAAAGGAGAGAACAGGGTAGAGGTGACTGGTTTACAAAAAGACAAGAGGAGAGAAACTAGCTAATAATAGAGTCAGAGATTGATTAATTTGCAGGGGAAAAGGCCACTGTACCTCCAGTGTCCAACCGGCCGAGAGTTGAAAGTGTTCTTTCTACTGCTCCTGGCTGCTGCTCTTCAGCAAAAAGGGATCACCAGTAGGGAAACTGCTAAATGCAACATGGACAAGGCTCACTTTATACTGGCAGGACTCACCCTATACTGAGGAGTACCTAAAACTGGGTTGGGTCACATGACTAGGACTGTAGTGAATTTGTAATTGCCTGATTTTTGTGGAAACTGAAGTCAGCTGGGCCAAACTTAACATAAGCAAGCACATCTGCCTGGCTGTGGGTGAGCTTGAGGACCTGAAGTCCCTGGGCGTTTCAGTCCCCTGTGAGGGGGTCAATATGCTTGGGGTGGAGTTTGACCCTGAGCTGAGTGGAAGGATGGCCTGGGAGAAGGAGGTCAAAGTGAAGCAGTGGTTGTGTCTATGGTATGTGTACTCCCTCTCCATGGGGGAGGTACATGGCACTCATGAAGGTGGTGTTGCTACCAGTGCTTCTGTACACCACACTGATCTTCCCCCACCCAAGTGTGTCACCTGCAGAATCCAGAGAGCCATGTGCGTCTTCTTCTGGGGATCCAGAATGGAGAAGATGGCAAGGAAGACCCTATACAAAGAGAAACGGGCCGGGATAGGGAGATACCAGACATCCACCTGTTCCTGTGGGCATGATACACAAGCCGGATCTGCAAGCTGGCAACTGGGCCAGAGTCCAAAACAGCCTGTCTTGTCAAGTATTTTACAGGTCACCTTCTGAGACCGTGGGGAGTGTACGCTCTAGCCAGAGGGAGACTGCGCACCATGGAGCGCTCCTGGTTCTACAGTGTGCTGAAAGATTTCTGGAGCAAGTACAGGCTACAGAAGGAAACCCCAGATACCATGTCCAAACCACAGGAAGATACAAAAGGCAGTAAGAGACAGAGATGGGCTATTGACCATGAACCTGCTCCCTGATGATGACTGCCGACCATCTAGGACCAGATCTTCCAGAAAGACCTAAGGAAAAACCACAGACTTGAACTGGCTCATAGCTCATGGCACACTCCCAGTGAAGGCATGGAGGCACAGAGCGAGATGAGAGTCTAGACCCAGCTGCTCCAGGGAAAGCTGCCAAGGTGTGAATGAGACCATCAGCCACCTCTTTTGGCTCTTCCCTTATGCCAAGGGAGTGTGGAAGAAGGTAAGCCGGTTCCTGGAGGAAGTGACAGGAATCAGGTTGATGACAAGGGAGGCGGTGCTGTATGGACACCTGATGAAACATCAGAGGTCCCAGACAACCCGCTTTGACCTGTTTGTGTCCTGCATCAAGAGTGCCCTGTGGCAATGTAGGAATCTTCTGATATACAGTCACGTTAAGCTTGAGCAAACGGACTGTGTTAAAATGTTTCTGAGCAAACTCCAGTCCTACTACCAGAAAGCGGTGGGAGAAGATGGAGAGGGTGCAGCCAACTCCATCTGAAAAAGAGACACATGGCACAGGCTGTTCAAACCACCCCCCAAGAAAGGAAGTGGACAGGGAGAACGAAAGGGACAATGACACAACTGGACCTGAAGACACTAAGGAGAACAACAACAGGATCAGCAGCAGGGGGAGTGAGCGACATCAACAGCGACAAGGACTGCGAATGAATTGAGAAGGGAAACTCCAAATCGGGCCTGGGAGTAAGAGACTGTGTTTGGGTTAGGGAAGGGCAGAAGGTGGGTGCGCGTGGGCCCAGGAGAGCGGGTGTGGTTATTGTAACGGGTGTGTGGGCTTATTAAGGTGGTTTGGAAAAGAAAAGGTGTAATGGCGGTCTGTGATAGAGGATGTATATATATACCTAAATGTAGATAGATAGATATATACAGTAAAAGCTTTGTTATCTGGCACCTGTGGGAAATGGGGGGTGCCGGATAACAAAATATGCCAGTTAACTGAGCGGCCTGAAGAGGTGTCTTTGCCTGTTTGGGCTGCTGCTTCTCCCGCCACGTCTGGGGCATCGCTGCCCCTCCCACAGCATCGCTGCTCTTCCCGCAGGCCCTGAGGGACAAGGAGGCAGGCCCCGCACAGCCTGCTGTGCCCTGGGCTGTGGGGGCTCGGAGAAACTGGAAGTGCCGCCGTAGGCACTACTGGTTTCACTTTACCTTAGAAGCCAGCATGCCAGTTAATAGAACATGCTGGCTTGTAAGGTGCCGGTTAACAGAGCTTTTACTGTATACAGAGTCCAGAGGAGAGCCACGTGCATGATCAGAGGGCAGGAGAACAGACCTTATGATGAGAGGCTGAGAGCCAAGGGACTCTTCAGCCTGGAAAAGCGCAGGCTCAGGGGGGACCTGGTAGCTGCCTATAAGTATATAAGGGGTGTATATCAGGATCTGGGGGAACGCCTGTCCACCAGAGCATCCCAAGTGACAGCAAGGTCAAACAGTCACAAACTCCTCCAAGACCATTTCAGGCTGGACATAAGGAAGAACTTCTTTACTGTCCGAGCCCCCAAGACCTGGAACAGACTGCCTCCAGGAGTGGTGCCAGCACCTACTCTGGACTCCTTTAAGAGACATTTGGATGTTTATCTTCCTGGGATCCTTTGACCCCAGCTGACTTCCTGCCCCTGGGGCCGGAGGCTAGCCTCAATGATCTTCCGAGGTCCCTTCTAGCCCTAATGTCTATGAAATCTATGAAATCTATTTTAACATGAACAAGTCATGCCCCTGGCAGCTGGGGGTGGGGCATGGTGGTGGCGGGAACACAGCAGTGGTGGCGGGAGTGGCGCGGTAAGCGGGGGAAGCTCCCACAGACACTGCCAGCGCTGTCGGCAGCAGGAGGGAAGGGAGAGGAGAGCACCAACCAAGGGTTAGCAACCACCCACAGCTACCGCCAGCAGCATCAGCAGCAGCCAGCAAGGATCGTGAACCGCCTGCAGACGCTGCATTGGGGTGGCGAGTGGCAACCGCCTTTTTGTAGGGGGTGCACCGCCACACTCAGGGGGTGCATGTGCACCTGCGTGTACCCCTTACATGTTGCCCCTGTATTTTAATTAAAAAAAAAAAATCAGCTGGCAGGAAAAGGGGTTAGGGGTGGGACATCTAGTCCCAAGATGGTGAGTAGGGGGTGAGGCACCTGTCAAAGGGTGAAGCTATCCTTGTGGCCCTCCACAGCCCTGGTAGGAAAGCCAGCAAATATAATATAGTCTTAAAGCAGGGCTCGCCGTGTCCTGGGAAGGGGTGCCCTGAAACTGCGCTGCATCACATGAGTTACCAGCTTTATCTTTGCGCAGTGGCAGTATCATAGCCTGTGAGGTTGAGCTGAGGCATGATCTTTGCTAGTTGAAAACTTTTCCCAATACCCTGCTCTAGCAGCTTGCAATATAGCTGTGGTGGGCAATTTTTGGCAGCCTCTGTAGAGGCTGGTGTCTTTTTTGAGTTTGAAAAATAGATATGGGGGTGTTAAAATAGATGGTTGTGCTTCTTGTTCTAACTTTCTAACTTACTTTTATGACTCTACAGCTGAGAGTAAATAAAACTTAGGAGCATCTGTATTCCAAGTCTCTGGGCTTTGGCTTGTATGTAGGGTGCCCTACAAAGGATTTAGCAGTATCTGAAGCCCCAGGCAAGGGGGGAGGATGCTTGTCAATAATAGGGACACATATGGTTCTTGAGTGATACAAGGAGTTGGAATTGATTTGACTTAAGACACACAAAATTTTCCTTAAAAAGAAAAATTCAGATGCTAGGGTAAATACCATGGCCACCAAGCTTTCCCAGGGCAGGGAAAGACCACGAATGTGGCAGAGGGCAGTACCCTGACTGAGGTAATGCAATTAAAATGGCACTGTGTAGTGGGGGGTTGTACCCTTGTCTGCTTATGGACTGGACTCCCTATGAGAGCCTCACAGTTAGCCTCCCACTTCGACTTCCAGTGGGAGAATCTCACCGACACGCTGACTTTATGGAAATGGTGGAAATGGGAGACTCCTCCCTGGCTTGCCCTTGCGGCCATACGGTTGAGAGCAAGAGAAACTCAGGGGCATCCGAACCCCAAACTTCTGGGATTGGGCCTGCATGTCGGATGCCTACCAAAGGATTTGGAAGCATCTGAAGCTCTAGGCGGGGGTGGAGCATGCTTGCTGTAGCAGGGCCACATATGGGTCTTTAATTACTCATGGATTTGGAATTGATTTGGCTTGGAACACGAAAAATTTTCCTTACAAAAAAAAAATTCAGCTGGCAGGCGAAGAGGTTAGGGGATGAGACCTCTAGTCCCAAAATGTCGACCAGAGGGTGGGGCACCTGTCAAAGGGCGGGCTACCCTTGTGGCCCTCCACAGCTCACCAAAGCTCATTAAGCTGCACTCCACCCAAAATAACTGCCTGCCCCTGGTCTACTCAGAAAAATGTGACCCATAATGCATCAGAAGAAGGCAATGGACGAACAGTTTCTGACCAGTTGGTTGTGGGGTGGCTTTTCCCCCCAACACAAGATGGCAGCAGGATGGGGACCCCAGTAGGAAAGCCAGTGAGTATAATATAGGCTTAAGGCAGGGTTCGCTGCGACCTGGGAAGGAGTGCCCCGAAACTGGACTGGGTCACATGAGCTAGCATCATTATCTTTGTACACTACCAGTATTGTGGCTTATGAGGTTGAACTGAGAAACAATCATTGCTAGTTGAAAGCTTTTCCCACTACCTTGCCCTGATGACTTTAAATACAGCTGTAGTAGGCAATTTTCAGTAGTTTATGTGAAGGCTATCATTTTTTCTGAGTTTGAAAAATGAAAAAGTTTAAAAGAAGGTTGTTCTTCTTATTCTTCCTTTCTAGCTTATTCCTGTAGCTGTATGGCTGAGGGTAAATAAATCTCCAGGGTATCCGATCTCCAAGTCTGTAGGTTCAGGCCCACATGTAGCACGCCTGCTGTAGAATCAGAAAAAATATGTGCCTTAAACTTTGATTATTTTAGTTATAAGATGACATAACCGCTTTGTGGAGAATTGCTGGCTCTGTATAGTAGAACAGATAAGAGAAAGTGTTTGTTCTTTGTAACTCCTCTGCAACTGCTTCGCTCACCGCGGCCTTGAAGATAGCAAAAAGTATGTACAACTCTGATTTGCAGGTGCAAGAAGGAGGTTTGTGAACTAACCTCGCCTCCCCCATTAGTTCCCATCCTGATTACAGCAAAGAAATAATGAAGTAATATTATAGCCGCTTTTCATGCTAATTTCACTATATGATCACGTGAGTTGTAAGCAACTGTTAAAAAGTATATAAGCCTCCTGATTTTGCTCGGGGGGGGACCCCTTCCAAGTGCTTGGGAAATCCATGTCACTTTGGAGTCCCCCCTACAGCTGTAGTTTCTTTTGAATAAAAGCTTCTGCTGACCTGACCCAAAAGTATGCTGCGTGTGTTTCCACGACACTGCTAAAGGCTATGGAAGCATCTGAAGCTCCAGATATGTTGCATGCTTGCTGGTAGTAGGGTCACATATGGTTCTTGAATGACTTGCAGACTTGGAATGGATTTGGCTTATTTGACTCAGGGCAAGAAAAATTTTCCTTAAAAAATATCAGGTTCCAGAGTGAGCACGGGCTACACAATGAAAGCCTGCCAAATATGTCTAACCACAAGATACAGAAGACAGTCAGAGCCAGAGACATGCTATCAACTGTAGAGCTGCTCCCCGATGTTGATTGCCAGGCCATCTGGGAGCAGATCTTCCACACGGCATACTGGTTCCGCCTGTGCTCATCTGCACGAGATGGTAACTGCGCAGTAGCCTAAAAATACTGCGCAATAGCACGTGACAGCACAAATAGTAATACATTACTGTGCAGTATTATTAGGCTACTGCACAGTAGTGCTACTAAAAAGGTGTTTGGTGGCACTACTGCGCCTTAATAAACATGTAGACGCACCCCCTGAGGAGAATGCTTTAGCATGCCCACTAAGGAGAAATCCTCCAAGTTGGCCAAATACATTTCCACACTGAACCATGTAAAACGGTATCCTGCAGGGACCTTGAATGCAGATGGAGGCAGACTGTTCTGTACTGCCTGCAATGTAACTCTGGATGTGTTGAGGAAAACAAGTACAGTATAGATCGACATTTAGAGTCCAAGGCACGCAGGAAGCAAAAGGCTGTTGCAGAGGCTGAAGGTCAGAGCAAGGAACGAGGGACTGTGTCCCCACTTTTTAAAAGGACCACGGAAAGCAAGTTGGCAGTGAGAGGCGGCATTTTCCCTCATGAAGGCTTTCACAGTGGTGAACATCCTAGTGGAGAAACTTGATCACCCAAAGTTATGGATGTACATGTACCAAAACTTGGCAAATGCTGGCAATTTTCTGTGCACCAGCAAGCTTTGCCAAGACTATCTCCTTGCAGTGATAGCTTTGGAAGCAACAGTGAGAGCAACAGTGAGTACAACAAAGACAGGGAATAAGTGGATAATGTAAACCCCAACAGCGGGGTGAAAACTAAGAGACTGTGTTATGGAAAGGACTGCAGATGGGTGCATGGGATCGCGCAGGAGCAGATGCGCATGGGTGACCATTGTAACGGGTACACAGGTTTTAAATGTGTTTCAAGTTTTGTGTAGAAATGCTTATCCGGGATGCTGTATATATAACTATATAACTATAAAGTATATTTTTCAAAAGAAACAAAAAAACATTACATTGCATGTGGTCCCCAAAAGATGCAATTGGCAGAGTTTGCCTCTTTCTCCACTGTGGCTGATGAAGCCATTGACCCTCAAGACTATGTGCTGCACATTTTATTTGTACCAGAGAGCTGGACAGACTGGGACCTGCCTGTGTTTCAAACAAAGCCAGTCCACCTCACATCTGTCAATTTTTCTACCATTTCTCAGGTCATGGTGAAGGTAATTGTAAGCGATGACTTAGAATTTAACAAGATGTCAGCATTCCTGTCCAGCAATGTCATGTACATACGCAAGGCTTTCTCTGATGTGCTCCAAGGAATGCTGCCCATTGCAGCTCATGTCACCTGCAGTGGACACATTCTGTCTTTAATAAGTGACATCTAGAGCACACAGTTCCCCAATGTAGATAGTGTGGTGTCTTCTTTCAAGAAAGCCTTCAAGCACTGTCCAGGCCGTAAGGTGCAGTACAGGGAGTCCATTGACAGTCAAAGTGGGTACTCACATGGGATTGTGCTGCTGCCACCAGAACCTGTGCTCACAAGTTGGAATTTGTGTTTCAATACAATCTGTTACCACGCCAAGTTATGCAGTACTACCAGCAGTTTGTGAGTGAGGAGCTGGAAATCATACCCAGCACACAGTGCATTCTTAAGCTTCATGATCTTTTAAGGTGTGGTGAAATTCAAGATCAAGTGCCATTTGTGGGTGGCAATGCCACCCAGTTCATGGAGCTTCTAACATGGTTCAAAGGCCAGCAGGCTGTGATCCACTATGCACACAACAAGCTGATGGATTTGATAAGCTAGGTTAAACACAGCGCATCACAAGTACTGTCAAGCTGTCCTTGTGAAAACCAGGGGACACAGGAGCTGTTCCAGGCAATAGCTGTGAAGCTGAACCAGTACTACAGGTATGACCTGTCCCTGCCGCTGTGTTTCAGACAACCAGCTGCCTCCTTCCTTAGTTCTGTTCGCATTTTGGACCCCAACCAGGTGCCTGTTCTGAGTTGTGACCCTCAGTTACTGAAAGCAGTCTCTGGATGGAAAGAGATCTCTGGATACTGGGGGCATGGAGTGGGGTCCAGGAGAAATGGGCTGTGGCTCCCAGAGAGGACAGGTTACTTAGGTGACCCAGAATACCCCAGCAGCAGGGGTTGGCTGGGCCTGAACTGGCTTTTTCCCCCACTTGCACCCTTGCCGCAGGATGGGAAGGCCAATGGGGAAGTGGCTAAGTGCAGCATGGACTTGAGGTGGAGCTCACTGTGTCCTGAGAAGGAGTGCCCTGAAACTGGGCAGGGTCACATTGACCAACTAGCCTTATCTTTGTGCAGTGGCAGTATTGTAGCCTATGAGGTTAAACTGAGGCACAATTATTGCTAGTTGAAAACTTTTCCCAATACCCTGCTCTGAGAGCTTGAAATATAGCTTTCGTGAGCAATTTTTGGGAGCCTCTGCCGAGGCTAATATCCTTCTTATAGTTGAAGATTAGAATGGCAGATTCTTTCTTCTGGATCTATTCCTTGTCTTGAATGTGCTTTAGGGTTTTATTTTTGTGTTAAGCTTTAAATGTCTTCAGTTCTGTATTTTTGTTCTTTTTCTTATAATTTTGTAGTCTGGGGAAACCTGTGTATCAGACTCTTCTCAGCTCAGTGTAGTGTGGGTACATTGGTTTGTCAATGGTCTCTAAGCCTTTTAAGTAGAAGATCGCCTTTGTTATTTGAAAACAACCCAAGATCTACCATATGCTGCTGCCACCCCCTCTTCTTCCCCACCCTAGCAGGTAAGTCTCTGGGGAGGGAAAAGGGGGGCAGATTGAGTCAGAGGGAGAAAAAATTATTTGGGGGTGCACCTCCTCAGCAGGTAAGTCCTACCTGGCCGGGGCCCCACTCAGCGTATCCCTGCTCTGTAGCACTGTCCCTCACTGTGGGGGCCTCAATCTAGCCCCTGCCCCTTCCCTGCCCCACAGACTGACCTGCTGGGCTGGGGCATGAACGTGCATGCACGCAGGCACTCAGCCCCGCCCTCAAGCCTTGGATCAACTTCAAGAGGCTCCAAGATCTACCAGTGGACCCACACTACACTAGTTTGTGACCACTGGTTTATGTGGTACCCTTGCAGACCCTTCTTGCATATGTTCTTGTGTTTATCAGTAGTCTCAAGGGGGACTGGCCTTTGCATGCAGAGGAACAGCTTTGTTGGGAGGTGGCATACTTGTGCTTGCAGGCAGGGTGAGATGAGGGAAGGAGCTGGGTGGGGGCAGGTGTATCTGTTAGGATGGTTCCCCAGGATGTGGGAGAAAAACATGAGCCCCTACACTGGAACGGGAGTTACCATGCCTTTGTGCAAGCCAGGAGCATTGTGTTGGTGGTCAAAGTGGCTGGAGTGGCAGTGGGATGTCATGGATGGTTTCTGAGCTGGGGTGTGGCCTGAGGCTCCTATTTGGGAAGGACCATTTGGATCTGCACCCTTTCAGGATGTCTTTGCCTAGGAGCCTGTCTTTGAGGCTTTAAGTGGCCAGAAGGCTTTTGCTGCTGTTCAGAGCTTCAAGTCGGCAGACAGTGTGTCTAAGAGTCTGCACACTAGTAACTTAATGAAAGGGACTTAATGGTGTGGTCTAGTACAGACCACCCAACCAGGGAGAAGAGCTGGACCAGGAATTCTCAGGTCAGCTCGCAGAGGCAGCTAAGTCAAGGGACGGGGTCATCATGGGTGACCTAAACTATCTGGACATCTGCTGGGAGGAGCAGTCAGCCAGGTCTGACCACTCACGTAGGTTCCTAGCCGAGTTACAGGACCTCCACCTAACCAGGAGGTGCACAGTACCACAAGGGGAAATGCCTTGTTGGACCTGGTCCTGGCCACAGGCAATGACCTGGAGAGGACTGTGGGTTCTTGACCACCTGGGCGATAGCGATCATCGCCTACTGGAATTCATCATCCAGCGCAGGGTGTCAAAGGCCTGCAGCAAGGCAGCAACCCTTGGCTTCAGGAGGGGGGATTTCAATGAGGTAAGGAGACTAGTTGGGGAGGCACTGAGGTTCCAGAGGGGAGGGGAGTTGGGAGTCCAGGAAGACCATCCTCCAAGCCCA